AGAACAAGGGATGCTAGAGAACAGGGCAATATAGGACCTCCTCTTCATAAGGCCATTACCCTCAAAAACAGCAGACATAGGTGACTTTCCTAACACAGAGAAACAGGCACAGAAACTTAGAAAAATTGAGAGGACAGATATATTTATCCCAAATGAAAGAAGAGGACAAGGTTATAGCCAGAGATTTAAGTGAAACAGACATAAGTGACATGCCTGATATAGAATTTAAACTAATGATAATAAGGATACTCCCTGGACTTGAGAAAAGAGTGAAAGACATGAGTGAGACTCTTAACACAGAGATAAGGAATAGTGTAGTGGAGATAAAGGGCTCCATAAATAAAATGAGAAACATGCTTGATGGAATTAACAACAGGCTGGAAGAAGCAGAGGAACAAACTAATGACCTAAAAGAGTAATGGCAAGTAATCAAGTTGAACAAAAGAGAGAAAAAGGAATTATGCAAAAGGAGAATAGAGTTAGGGAATTCAATGACTCCCTTAAACATAATAACGTTCATATTATAGGAGTCTCAGAAGAAGAAGAGAGAGAGACAAGGGAGCAGAAAATTTATTTGAAGAAATAATAGCTGAAAATTTCCCTTATCTGGGGAAGGAAACAGATATCCAGATCCAGGAGGCACAGAAAAGCCCCAACAAATTCAACAAAACAGATCCACACCAAGACATTGTAATCAAACTGGCAAAATATAGTGATAAAGAAAAAAATTTTAAAGTATCAGGACAAAAGAAGACTAACATACAAGGGAAACCCCTAAGGCTAGCAGGGTTTTTTTCTACCTTTGAAACAATGTGACATTTGTGTAGGAATAGACAACCATTCAAGTGGAATAGAAAACAAAATCCAGACATAGACCAAAGAAACATGAAAATTTAGTATTTATAGAGGTGGCATTTAAAAATGATTAAAGTAAAGACCAATTGCTTAACAAATAGTTCTGGGACAACTGATAACCCATTTAGGAAAAATAAAAACAAACAAACAAACAAACAAAAAACTCCCAAGTGATCTGCTCAAGTTACTCAGGCTGTATTAATCCCAAAACTATGTTAATTTTTCAGATATCAACTTAAGCCTTTTATCACCCAGTAATTAACAAATGCTATCACAGAAGTATAAAACTAGGTGTCATCATTTGGCTCCTAATAGAATTATTTTTACTGAATTATACTTTGACGTTATGACATCAGTCTTAAAGATGGAAATCACACAATACCATGCTGCCCTTCTTTTGAACTATTAAAGTGTTTTTTATACAGAGGAGAAGAGAGTCATATAGTTGAACATGTTTTACTGTTTTGGCCAGTAGGAAGTTCAGACTAAAATTTACAATACAACTAAAAAAAAAAAAAAAAAAAAAATACAGGGCTTTGCGGCTATATTTTGAGAAAAGACGGCTTTTCAATCTCAGCTGAGTTCTTTGTTTTTTTTTAAAGATTATTTCTTTATTTATCTGTCAGAGAGAGAGAGAGAGAGAGAGAGCACAAGCAGGGGGAGTGGCAGGCAAAGGGAGAAGCAGGCTCCCCACTGAGCAGGGAGCCTGATGTAGGACTCGATCCCAGTACTCTGGGACCATGACCTGAGCCAAAGGAAGACACTTAAACTGAGCCACCCAGGCATCCCCTCAGCTGAGTTCTTAATACCACTCAGAAATTATTTTATAAGTCTTTACTCACTCCCCCACTTACTTCTCACAGATCTCCTCAAGCACCCTCTTTCCGTATGTCCACAGTCCTCTAACTCTTGGGTGTGTCTCCTACATTTAGAGAAAACAAAATCTACTCTATTTCACCTCTTTCAACTTCTTTCTCCCTTTGAAACAAATCTCTATACTTGTGCTATGAAAAACTCACTTATTTCTTTTTTTCAAATTATTTGTATTAACATACAATGTATTATTTGCCCCAGGGGTACGGGTCTGTGAATCATCAGGCTTACACATTTCACAGACTCACCATAGCACACACCCTCCCAATGTCCATAACATGTCTGTAACCCAACCACCCTATCCCCTACCTCCCCACCCCCCAGCATCCCTCAGTTTGTTTTGTGAATACACAACCCATTTATTCTTGATCTTTCTTGCTTTTTAGAGAAATGTGAATTTCCCCCCAGGAGTTACTTTAGGTCCAACACCTGAAGTTTTTAAAGTGGTTTGTTCTCATCCAGTTCTAAATATTTTCTAATTTCTATTGTGATTTTTTTTCCTTTTCTGTATGTTTTTACATTACCAAAGTTTATTTTACAGCTCTTATATTGTTAATTTAAAGCTTAATTGCACTGTAGTTAGGAAATATATCCTTCTGCGGGTGAGTGTCCAGGTGTGATATTTTCAAAGCTTGTTGCATATACTCTCACTTAATGATTTCATCTGTTACAATTGTTTCATCTAATAGCTCTACGTGGATGATTACAAGCGTTTATCTCTAGTCCTATTCTCTTCCGAGTTTCAGGTCTGTAGTTTTCTATACACTTACAGACTAATTTCTTGTATGTCCAACAGACACTGCAGTCCTAACAAATTCAAAACCAAAGCATTATACTCTACCCACCCCTCTGAGTATCTTCTTCCTTCTCCCTTTTTATTCTCTTTTTAGAATGGTGATCCCACATTCTACCTAACTCTTCAAGCAAGAAACATTAAAATTGTCTCTTATTCCCATCTTACACAAACTAAATGAACTGGAGTGGTTCAAGTGCTGTGAATTATATATCCTAATAATTTCTTGAAGCCGTCCTTTCTTCTCAATTGTAACAGACCTTCATCATTTATAGCCTGGCCTTGCATTATCCTCTTAAATAGTGTTCAGTTAGCTTTGTCACCTCTCCCTCTCTCCTTCTCTTTTACCATTTCGCTCTTGCTACCACACATGTGTTGAAAACACAAGTCTGATCATTTCATTCCCTTGCTTAAAAATCTTTGATCACTGCCTAAATAAAGTCTCAATTTAACACAACATACAAAACTCCTTATCTGAGAAAATTTATCTACTGTGCAAGCAGAAACTTTTCAGGCTTGATATAATATTAAACATACTATTGTAAATTCTTGGGCCTGCAACTCGATCGAAAGTCTAATGTTGAGAAGGAGTCGGATACAAGTGTTGCCTCATATACAACTGCCTACACATTATACTTTTATGATTAAAAAAACCCTTAAGATCTTTAGACTAGACCCATTTTCCAAAACGAATTACACGAGTACAGCTTACATCTTTGGCCCAATGAAAACATTTAATGTAGGTAAGCAGAAGGAATGGGCACAGCCTGACAAGGCCGGAGCTCAGGACCTTGTACTAGCAGTGCAGAAATCAAACACAAGGAGACAATGCTTCGAAAGATGATTGCAAATCATAAAAGCTCAGAGGTAAGAGAGAAGAAAGAAACATCTTTGGAAGACCAAGTAATATTTTAAAACATGGCCCATGCATGCTTTAACCTGGCTTTAGGAAAAAGAAGAAAATGATCCCAACCATACAGATAATTAGGAGGTGACACCATCCTCCCTAGCAGGTATCTTATCTGTAACTAAAGTTACAACAGAACAACCCATGTTCATGATAATAATCCTTAAAGACAATAAAAGATAAATTAGGTTCTGTATCCTTAGTATGTGAAGACAGGTAAAAAGAATTCATTCCAGGAAGGTTTTCATGAAATAATATTAAAAGCATACAGGCCCACAGAAGATATAAACTTATATTAATGTGTTAATTACTACTTTAATTATCTGTTAATAATTGCTTAAATTACTCAAAACAATATCCTCCTTCCCAGAATGCTGACTTTGATATATTGCCATATTTTATCTACTATTATGTCCTTATTAATAAAACTAGGTACAATGTTGTTTTTTAGATTTTTGAACTACCAATATCCAATGTGTTTTTATTTTTTTTTTTAAAGATTTTATTTATTTATTTGACAGAGAGAGCTCACAAGTAGACGGAGAGGTAGGCAGAGAGAAAGAGGAGGAAGCAGGCTCCCTGCTGAGCAGAGAGCCCGATGCGGGACTCGATCCCAGGACCCTGAGATCATGACCTGAGCCGAAGGCAGAGGCTTTAACCCACTGAGCCACCCAGGCGCCCCCCAATGTGTTTTTAAATGAGACAATAAGAAAGAATAGGTATTTGCTGAAGAAATCAGGGAATCCTGAAAGAGAGATGAAGCGTAAGAAGCAGATTGTATGGTTTACAAGAGAGGGAGAAAGCATCAGTACAGTGCTATTTCTAGGAATTCTGCCTGCTGCTTTGACACTGTTTATTGTTCTGATTTATTTATTCTGAAACCAAATTCATTTTCTCAACTTTACTGCTGTACCTATGATTCTAAATTAGATGTATATTTACATGTGTATGTACATATATTTTTTGGCTTATATTTCTGAACTAGAGTGAGCTTCAGAAGTTTTATTTCCATGTGGTACATATCTTTGACTCAGAAAATTATTTTTTAAAAACTCAAATCTTTCACATTAGAAGCTTGCGTTCTATGTGAACTTGCAGGAAAAAAAAGAAACTCTATCAGGTACTCAGCCAAAGTCAAATTTCAAAGAATAAACAAGCAAATTTGACATATATACTATAGACCTAATTGTATTTATTCTAGAATATGAGATCCAAATGATATATGCATACAGCAAACATTGGAAGCATTTTGGATTAAAAATTCAGTGGAGTTTATCCTGAAATTTGATTTCATGCCCCCAAGTATGTGTTATTAAGAGTTGTGCCAAACAAATTAAGTCAACTGTGATCTAATCAGGACTACAATGTGGCTAATACATTTCTGTTGTTTTGGGATCACTGTCACATACCTTTTGATACAGGAGAAAAAAGATTTTAGTTCAAACTATTTACAAAGATGTGAACTTTAACGAGAATCTTTCTTAAGCCTGTTATGTAAAAACATGTTTTACAATCAAGTTTAATTTTTACGACTTTTGTTTTAAATTTATTATTTTCCCACCAACATTTTACCTCTGGTCCCGGAGGTCCACATGGTCCTTGGGGTCCTGGGTCACCGATCTGGCCCTAAGATGGGGGTGGGGATCAAAGTAGAAGTATGAATCTGTTATACACAATTTAAAACAGACATATGGTAAGCAAACAGAACTCAATGTATTATGCCACATAAAATTTTAATGACTTTTCAGCAAACAACACTCAATATATTATGTCAAACAAAGTTGTAACAACCATTCAGAAAGACTTAATTTGGGGCACCTGGGTGGCTCAGTGGGTTAAGCCTCTGCCTTTGGCTCAGGTCATGATCTCAGGGTTCCGGGATCGAGCCCCGCATCAGGCTCTCTGCTCGGCAGGGAGCCTGCTTCCTCCTCTCTCTCTGCCTGCCTCTCTGCCTACTTGTGAGCTCTCTCTGTCAAATAAATAAATAAAATCTTAAAAAAAAAAAAAAAAAGACTTAATTTTTAACCATCATCACTGTGGAAAACTTATTTAAATAAAAGGTGTATGGATGTAATATATATTTACTCCTAAGTGCTGGAGATACAAACAAACTGAGTTAAGTGTTCAAATAAAAAAAAAAAAATAGTGTGTGAATGTGTAGGTTATCCAGAGATAAGGAGCTCAACTTAACAAGGTAGGGGACTCTAGATAAGGACTTGGTTTCATAAACAACCAGAGTCCAGGACAGTCCCTGAAAATTCCTCTCTCCTTTGATACTACGAAGGCCTGATTTAGTAATTAAGAATAATCTGGATTTAAATCCCTGCTGCTTAATCTCTCTTAGGCTCAGTTTTCTTAATAATAAAATAGGAATAAAAATGCTAACAGGTATTAACATTGTTATAGGGTAATTGAGGATTAAAAGAGACAATATATTTAAGGTGCTAGGTTTAGCACAGTGCCTGGCAATAAATGTTAACCAATTTTATAACCATTAACCTTTCCCTTTATATCCTCTGTCCTCTCCTGGGTGCCTATAATTCCTAGATTATTTAGATCATTATTATATTAAAAATCTGAGGATTTGTTGTCAATATTTCTGAAGCCATCTTCTGACATCTGGATTAACCAGGCAAGGTCAGGGCTAGAGAGCAAGTTCAGAGGAGAGAAAAGTGGTTATAAAGCCTGAAACTAGAGATGAAAGGAGGGAGTAGTTTAATACCTTTGTTTTCACCAGAAAAGCTGCTGAATTCATTATTTCTGCCATATTAAATTTCTATGTGAGTTTCAAATTTGACCTAAGAGTTCTCAGATTACATAAAATTACAAGAAATAATATGTGCTTATCCACATTTCAAGAAGTAAAGCACAGTTTTCCATAAGCACTAACGCCATTCTCATACAGCGCTTAAGTATCTGGATATAAAACAATGCACAATCAAATCTAGAGAAAAGTAATGAAGTATTACATAAAACCTTACTTAAATGCTCCTATATAAAGTCAAAATTCATCATAATCAGTACCTAGGGGAGCCTTGAATTATTAAAATGGCAAGTACCTCTCTCAGAGAGATAAAGATGGGGCTCTCACTGGAGACCTCTGGTGGCAAAAAACAAATGAGAGGCTAAATTCACAAGCTTTGAGGAAAAAACAGCATCCTCTAGGTGTTTGTTTCTGGAAAAGTTAATTGACGACCAGATATCGATAAACACAAATTTTGAAAAATTTCATTCTTCAGAATAAATCTTCATTTTAAAAAACTTTAACTGGAAGTTTCCTTGAATGTCAAGTCTCCTTTAAAAAAACTCAGTTTTCAAGTAAGTTTTAGACAATGGAATAAGGATCGAGTAAACCTCTCTAATTGACAACTTCTAGTTAAAAATATGGAAAGGCATAATAATTGTCTTTGTTTTCTTTGTTTTAAGGAAATAATATTAATTAACAACTTCTGATTGGTAATTGTCTCTGGTTTTTAGATGCTTCCAGAGCCAAAGATTCCCTAATTCCAAAATGTAGAAAACCTTCCAAATCGGGACATTCTTTCTTTTACCTTATAGGTATTCTTTCATGTTACAACTTAGATTCATTTGGGGGTAAAAAAAAATCACTAATGCCAGCATCTTAGAAAACAGAAAGCCAAAAGTAGGAGATATAAAATAAGAGAGACATCTTTATGACTTTGATATTCTTTTCATGATAGTAAACAAATGATTTAGAGAGGCACTAACTTGTATAATTTCTTTTTAATATAACAGATTCAGTGCAAACAATTTTTCATTAAACAGGTGTCTCCTTCCAAAACTAGGGAAGATTTCTTGGTCAAACCTCTATAATTTTTTTCTATTAGTAAGATACAAACAAGTGAGAGACTACAGACTCTTCACAAATACTAATTCATATATCTCTAGCCTGTCTACAGTCTGATGTATATATTTTTCAAAGATTTGACAAAACAAAAGATGGTAAACTATTTCCTACCAAAGTAATCCCTGCTGACATTAAAAATGTGTTTCTTATTAGAAAAACAAAGAAAGGTACAAAATGAGCAAGTAAAAGCCTCACTCTTATCATCTTAATGCTCCCTGCAACACAGCCCTAAAAAAAAAATATTAGAGTTGGTTCTGGTGATTTATTTCAAGAAAAAAATAATACTAAGGGTTTTAAGACAATTTGTTAAAGGCGAAACAGGCTCTCTACCTTTTCTTTAGCTTAGACTAGAGAATTACTGGTAAACATTGTCACTGAGAGAGAAAACCAAAGAGTCACAGATTTACAAGGAACCTTAAATATGATGTAGTGAGACTCTCAGTTTAAACAAGTAACTGGATGTCACAGTGGTTAAATACTCAAGGTCATAGCAAGTCAGTGTCAGGGCTGGAACTAAAATCTAATCCTGTTTCTCAGAGAAGTATATCCCCTCTGCCCCACAATAAACATGTTATCAATACAAACTGTATCAAAAAGTAAGGGAGACATTAAAAAGATTCACTTTGTATAAGCATGATATTTGACTTAAGTTTTATCCAGTAATTAATTGTAAAGCATTACAGAATAATATTGATATGATTTATCACTCAGTATTGGCCTTAGAAAATGTGTTGTACCTGCTCCTTTTATTATTATTGTTGAAAGTCAGAAAACCCTCACATTATGAACAATTAGGATGTAAGAAGTTTAGAGTCTTACTTTGCTAGCCACTGCAGATATTATAAGTTCCTGTTATGTGATTAGACTCATCCTTGAAAAACAGAAGCTTTTTGTTAGCTTCATGACCTATTTTCATGCCTTTTATTTATACAGTTTGGAATTTCTGAGATTCAACTGCAGAGCCCAAGTCTGGGTACATGACTGACCAGGTTTACTCCAAGTCCAGGGCAAAAAACTAGTTAAGAGCGAAGCTCACCACCAGCATGTCACTTGACAAAAAGACACTGAAAATTTTCCTTTGGAATAAATACTTTCTGAGAGATGTATATAAAATGCCATCAATGTTAGAAGTTATACTGAATGAGGTATGAAAAGTGCTATGTCTTAATGCTGCTTCCTCTGACCAAAAATATTCACGCCTGAGATAGGAGGAGAGAGTTAGAGGAAACACAATGATTTGCTCAGGGAACAATTCTTTTTAAAATGTAGATTTTAATGTTATATTAATAAATTATAATTTCCATCTATTTTTCTATCTACAATTACCTGCACCTTCATAGAGTTGTAATCAATATTAGAAATCCCAGAGCAATCTTAAAATATTAAATCCTAAAACAGTATGGCACAGTGGCTGAGTATGTGAGCTCTGACATATGATTACCTAGATTTTCCCAGATGGCCAACAACTAATTATGGAAACATGGACAAGTTATTTAACTCTGTGTCTCAGTTTCTCCAATCTGTAAAATAAGAACAATAATAGTACCAACTTCATATGATTTTTGTAAAGACTAAATTAGAAGTATAGACTTAGAATAGTGACTGGTACTTTGTAAACAGTACATCTTAGCTATAATAATTATCATGACTTTTAATGTAGAGAGACATACTTAACTCATGTTTTAACCATTATTTAAATGATTTTAATTACTCGGTAATTTCAGTTTGAGTTAGGTTTCATGTTAACTACAATATAAGGTACTCTTTTTTTTTTTTTTTTTCAATTAACAGATGCCCAAAGGTTAAAAAAAGACAAAGAATTAGTATATTTGTGCCCACGGGGTGTGACATGCTATCTTTTCTTCACAATATTTCTTTAATGAAATATATTAGAATGAAAGATATTTGGAAAAAATAAAACATTATTTAAGGTGTTTTGTATTTTCTGTCTTAAATATCTATCGTTTACTTCATAATAGTATTATTATGAATAACAATAGTTATGAATAATATTATTCATAACAGATCAAACAAAATCTTTAGGGCCCACAGAAGTTTGGTTTTGGCCTGGGATGAGGGGGAGGGCAGGAAGAACAAGGTCCAATACTCTACGGAATGTGAGCTGAAAAGCTGAAAACTTGAAGGATTAGCTGTACCCTAAAACTGAGGAGAAAAAAATGCCAGATTGGTAACCCTAGCTCCTACTTACATTCCACTAATACCAACAAGTGTCAAGACTCATGCCATGATGTACACTTTGTTAATGGGAAAAAACAAAGGAAAAGTTCAAACCTACTGAAGGTCCTGGCTTTCCTCTCATCCCTGGTGGTCCTGGAACACCAACAGCACCCTACAGAACAGAATAATAGAAGATGAAAGTTATTATACCACAAGAGACAGCTATGCCTCTGTATACAAACTGCTTAAAAAATTCATGGAGTGAATCCAAAAACTGAGAAAACCATTTCGAACAAAACGTGTAAAACCATATTGATACCGCATCCTAACTAAGTACATGGTTAAAATAATCATTACTCCTTTTTTTCTTTTTAAGAATTTATACTTTTTCACTGAATTTTTCATATTTATATAAACTTAATGGTAAAAAAAAAAAAGTTACCTTGTCTCCAGGATACCCTAATTCTCCTGGCTCCCCTGTAATGCCTTGTTCACCCTAGAGGGCACATTTAATACAAAGACACTTAAGCAACACAAACATGGCAATATTATAAGACAGTAAATATTTATTATAGAAGAATAATTTCTATTTTTCCTACTTCTGATAAAAATTGTTAGATCCCATATATAAAAACAAGATATTTTATAAGTATTGACTAACAAGAAAAAAATGTGATAAGAAATTATCTCTATGATAATGCAAATATTTAAATCACCTTATCACCTTTGATTCCAGGTAGGCCCTTATTCCCGGAAAGACCCTAAAAAAAAAAAGTGATATTTTGTGGCATCATAGAGAAATTAAGGGAAAATATCCATTATGCAAATAGAGACATACCATTGGGCCAGGATTTCCAGAAGGTCCAACTGGTCCAATAGGGCCAATACTGCCCTGAAAAGCAATTAGACAGAAAGGCATCATTAAGCATCCACTAGGATTAGAAAGAGAATATGGTAAAATTAATTAATTAACTAACCCAGAACAGTTCATCTTACTCAGCTCCCACATGCGTCTTGTTCTTCCACAACTTCTTCTCTCCACATTTAGAAATCATACCAATGTTTGAAACTTTAGCGAGGTCATCCTACTCCCTAAAGCCTATTCATACCCGTGTAGTCCATAAGGATCCTCCCTTTCCTCTAGTCTGTATAATGCTTAACTCTCCTTGACATTCATCTTGAAATACTTCTCTAACTAGATAATATCTTGAAGAGCAGGGAAATATTTTAGTGCCACATTCCCAGGAGGTAGTTAATAAATACTTCATTTGATCATCTTCGATTTTAACTCCATCCATTTATTCAGGAATTATTCATTGGGCACTTACTATGTTCCAGGAGTTTCAGTGATTTTTTTTCATGATTTGAAATTTGCAGAATGATAAAGTTTACCATAATTTCAGGGATAAACTGAGAACTGAACAAAAGACTCTACTCTTCTGGGCTTCTGTCATTCATTCATCATTTAACATTTGTTGAACATAACATCGACGTAGACACTGTAGTTGTGTGGAGGAAATAAAGATGAAAAAGACACAGTCACCAACATTGAGGTTCTCAGTTTAAAGCTCCAACACAAGATTCCTCAAAAATATAACAAACTATCATCTCCTGTAAGCAAGCGATTTAAAAAAACTCCTCAAATATAACATAAAATAGAAGACAAAGGACAGGGGTGCCTGGGTGGCTCAGTGGCTTAAAGCCTCTGCCTTCAGCTCAGGTCATGATCCCAGGGTCCTGGGATCGAGCTCCGCATCAGGATCTCTGCTCAGTGGGGAACCTGCTTCCTCCTCTCTCTCTGCCTGCCTCTCTGCCTACTTGTGATCTCTGCCTCTCAAATAAATAAATAAAATCTTGAAAAAAAAAAAAAAAAGAAGAAGAAGACAAAGGCCAAGAGCCACAATAAGGGTATTTCAAAGTAAAATTTGAAAAAAAAAAGGTTTGGGGATCACTTGTAATTTTTGTGTCGCTGACACGTTCATTTTCCTTCCTTCTCTTGCTACCTCTCTGTGCCTAGCTTCTGTTATCATCCTTCATCTTCACAGAACAAATTGCCTTACACCTCCCTTTTATGGTTTTCAAACATTAAGGAAATTCTAAATGTGTATTTGTGGCAATGCTAGAAATGTTGCCCCTTTTACCAAATTTCTTAGGAAAGCATCCCAGGCCCTCACTGCTAGGTTTGCACCAACCCTTCCCGTCTTGTCTACTTCCATTTGTCGCTACTCCTCCTTTATTTCTACCTTGTCCAAATCCCACATTCTAGCCACAGTGGACGGTTTTCCATTCTCTGAACATGGTCTCTCTTTATTACATGCTCCAAGCCTTTGAAGATATAGTTACCAATACTGAAATGGCTTTCTGCTGCACTAGTGAGTATACTGTACCATACTTTTCTCCTTGTGTTCCTAGTCTACACATTCTGTGAACGTAGAAGCATGTTTATTGATTTTTACTTCCCAGACCCAACATAGTACTTTGCACATAATAGTTTTGAACTAAAGTATGGAATGAACACTGAAGGACCTGTCAGAATAGCCAAACCCAAAAAGACAAGAAATAACAAGTGCTGGTGGGGATGTGGAGAAAAAGAAACCCTTGTTCCACCTTGGTGGAAATGCAAATTGGTGGAGGCACTGTGGAAACCAATATGGACATTCTTCAGAAAATTCCATATGACCCAGTAATTCCACTACTGGCATTTACCCAAAGAAAAGAAAAACACTAATTCAAAAAGATACATGGATCCTGTGTTTATTGCAGTATTTCTTACAACAGCCAAGATATGGAAGCAACTCGAATGTCCACCCATAGACAAATGGATGAAGAAGATGTGGTGTGTGTACACACACACACACACACACACACACACAGGAATATTACTCAGCCATAAAAAAGACTGATATCTTGCCACTTGTAACAACATGGATGGACCTAGAGGTGAAAATGTTAAGTAAAATAAACAGAGAAAGACAAACCGTATGATTTCACTCATATGTGCAATTTAAAAAACAAAATAAATGAACAAAAAAAAAAGACAAACAAAAAGAGAACTGGTGGTTGCTAAAGTGAGATGGCTGAAATAGAAAAACAGAATTAAGAGTGGACTTACTGTAATGAACGCTGATTAATGTACAGAGTTACTGAATGATTATACTGTATACTTGTAACTAATATAACACCGTATGTTAAATATACTTTAGTAAAAAACAATTTTTTTAACAGTGATTTCAAGAGCTTCATCTCCCAACATAACAGAGCATTGCTAACAGACTGCATTCATATTACACAAATTGCAGAATGGAAAATATGACATCTTTTGCATGAGTCCTAAAGTCTGTGAAATATAATGGAGATAAATTATTTCCAACATGTTTAATCCTGAAATATATGAGAAAGGGAAAGAGTAATACTTTCCAACTTAATAGACAGATATACAATATTCATATGTCACTGACAAATTCTGTCAGTAGGAAACAACTGTTCCTATAATTACAGTGGCTGGTTTATTCAAAGTTCCTGGCTTTAAAAATAATGAGAGTTTTAAAAAATACAAAAAACGTTTCTGTTTGGAAATTATGCAGCAATAATCTATGAAGTATGGGGGGAAATCTTATAAACAAATAAACAAACATTTCTTTGTCATCCTGTTGGTTTTTCCTATGGGCAATAACATTAACTGTATTTCAGTAAACATATCACTGTGCATAGACTAGTATTTTCAGATGAATGTACTTTGTATGCACAATCTACTGTTTTACTTTTTAGTGACTCTAAAAAAATTATCACAAAATAGTAAGTGTTGAGAAATATTAAAGATATAAAAAATTATAGTAAAGATAAAAAAGATTTAGTATTATAGGGAACTAAAAAGTAAAATAATACGGGTATAGAAAGCTCCAAGAAACAGCAAACATTTTGTGTTATGTTACAAATGGTATGGAAAATCCTAGTCCTGAAAAACTATAGCTTTCTCAAAGCAACCCGCAATAGGCTAAGAGCAGTTTTTAGTTCCACAAGGATAACATGAAAGCCTTCAGCACTCTCTGCTTACCATACTCCTCTTCCATGAGAAGACAGAGCAGACAGGAGAAATACTTCCATGCATGGCAGCTTAGCTGAGGGTGTCTGGGATACAGCACCAAAGGCAGAAAAGCCTCCCACACATCCAGAAATAATAAAGAACTTTCGAGTCAAAATGAGTTAAAGAAACAGAGACCCAAGAATAGGTTCTTCATATAAAATGAGCAGCCGCTAGCCAATTAGAGCTCATGAGTGAGCACACTGTAGAAAAGACTTGGGGCTCCTCTTCAGGCTTTGCAACCACACCCACCCACCCTCACAGGTGATAATCACTATCACTAATTAAGAAAGCAAATGACAATCAGCTGCAAGGAAAAAATCATTTAGAGGAAGCTATGTCATCTCTTCTCAGAAACTATGCTTCCTATAAGGGAACAAGTAGATGTGTACTTGCTGATAAACTGGGCAAGCAGACAAAGTGTTAGCTATTAAATATAAAGGTTCTATATAAACCTTTTCCCAGTTATCTTCAAATCTTCCCCTCCTTCCATTCCACTCCCATCCCCCCACACTTCCTAGGCTACAGTCCCACTACTCCTCTTTCCATTGCCCAAACCACACTTTTTTTTTTTTTTTTTTACCTCTTCTGTGCACTTAGAGAGGCATTCTTCTGCCTCAAGAGTCCTTTTCCTGACTACTCCACTCCATTCATGTATAATCTTCAAGATATGGTTAAAACACGTCTCTTTTATGAAGCCTCCTCTCTCAGGATGACATAAATTGCTCCTTTCTCAATGGTTTTTAGTCCATGAGAACAGTGATCACATCATATGATATACTGATTTTTCCTTCTATGCCCTGGATTATAATGTTGCCCAAAACAGAAATCTTGTTTGTATTTTTAGGCCTAGCTCTAGTTCAGCATTTGATACACAGTAGGTGCTCACACTGTTTTGATTTAAAAATTTAGTAAATGTAAAATGGAGGTTGAAATACCTGTTCTATCGACTTGAGGAACAAATGAGATACGAGTGTGAAAGTACTTTGGATAGTATAAAGTACTATCTGTATCAATGTAGAGATGAGGATTACAAAGATGACTGTTAGTATCATTTGGCATTTTCTTCTCTCTTTAGAATCTCTTCTTTCTTTTTAGAATCTCTTCCCAGCAACCAAAGGGTATATTGAGAAAGAGAAAGGACAACAAACAACAACAACAAAAACCCAGTTATTTTTGCCAGCACTATTATGTGTTGGAACTACGCAAAGTCCTGGAGTAGAAAATGAGTAAGGGTTAACTATTAGACAGAGAAATACAGGTAAAGTATTTCAGGTAGACAAACAAGTGAAAGTGCAAAGGCCTTTTGGTAGGAAGGTTGCATGACATCTGAGAACAGTTTGCTAGTGCACAAAGTATGTCTCAAGATGCCCATGACAACCACAACAGTCTAGACATGCTAAGTCTTTTGGTCTTAAACTTGAGCATAATGGCAGAAGCTGCTGAGTTAACCAACTGATAGGTGAAATGAAGAACACATAAAGACTGAACTCCCTTCTCCAGCTTCCTTTCCTCCCCATTGGTAAAACCATGGACTACCACCTACAGTTTAATCCTACTCTAAGTTCTGAGCAAAAAAAAAAAAAATGGTCCTTTGGCTTCCATCTTCACACAGAGCTTCTTGTGAAGCCTAAAGAAATCTCATGAGTTAAATGGCACACATTATAAGGTAATATGAGTTTTAAGGAGGTGGTATAGCACACAGGTAGAATTATGGCCTCTGGTTTGATTGCCTGCTTCAAATTTGGGCCTAATACTCATAAAGGGAGTGGTCTTGGCTTGTTCTGAGAATTAAGTGACCTAGCACTGACTAGCACATGGAAAATGCTAAATAAAAGTGAGCTGTTTTGGGGTGTCTGGGTGGCTCAGTAGGTTAAGCATCTGACTCTTAGTTTGGGCTCAGGTCATGATCTTAGGGTTCTGAGATCAAGCCCCACATTGAGCCTAGCAGCTCAGCAGGGAGTCTGCTTGAGCTTCTCTTCCTCTGTCCCTTCCCCATGCTCTCTCTCTCTCTCTCCCTAAAAAATAAGTATATCTTTTTTAAGTGAGTTGTTATTGCTCATTTTATTATTAGTATACTACTATTATCACGTAAAAGAAAAGTTAAATGTGTAAGACTCACTCAGGTGCTCTGACTCTTAACTCTATACTCTTGCCAGCCCCGAATGGCAAGTTAAAACTTGTTATACTGATTTTAACCATAGTTCCAATAATTGAACTCCTGATGTATTCTGTTGGTCAAGTTGTCACCTTCTGCCTTGGGGCGGTTAAGGTGGGGGAAAAACATTAAATTTAGACTCAAAAGACCTGTGTTCAAGTTCAAGCTACAAATAATTGTGGCTGTAATTTATGACATAAAACTGGAGTCTTAATTACCTATTTCATATGTTAGAAGCAAGCTCTAAATTGATTTTTAAGGAAAATCTTACCTCTGCCCATGGTCACTTACCTATTTTTATACAGATATATATAGTTTCCTTCTAAGATTCTACTTTCATTAGGCTCCTTACATTTCATAAAAGTATGAATCTTGCCTTTAGTTCTGCTGTTAAAGCACATGGTTCTAAATTTATAGAAAATATCTGCAACTTACATCCCTGTCATGAACCATAAGCTTGACTGAGAGAAATATATTTATGGAGATATGGCAGAAGTAGCAGTCTGTTTGCTTCAAGGAACAGTCTAAAATTTATCAGGTAACTATGTAACTGGAGTACATTATTTTGGTCTCCACAGAATTGCTTTACTAAATTGTACTTTGCCTACACCAAAATTCCAGTGAAACTCAGAGTTAAATTCACTGAATAAAAATGATTTAGTGAGCAAATAATACAGTCACTTATATTTTTAGTATAATAAATTAGGTATTAAAATGTTTAGCATCAGGGCACCTGGATACCTCAGTGAGCTTGACATCTGCCTTCAGCTCAGGTCATGATCTCGAAGTCCTAGGATTGAGCCCCATGTTGTCAGGCTCCCTGCTCAGTGGGGAGGGTGCTACTCCCTTCTTCCTCTCCCTCTGCCCTTCCCCACTGCTCAAGCACACTCTATTTCAAATAAATTTTTAAAAAATCTTTAAAAAATGTTTAGCAGCATTCATGAAGTGCAACTACTACTGATTGTTCAGGATGTTTCCCAACTATTAATTCAATTTTATTCAGAAATAAAATCTATAGTTACCATGTGCTATAATATGGTACGGTATGGTATTCAGACCTATCTGTATCTATCCAGGCCTGATGCTATGAAAGAAAATTCAAAGGAGAGAAGTGGCTGTTCTATGTCACACTTTTGAAGAAACAGAGTCCTAGGTATCTATTAATGAGACAGACATAAATAAATCTGTAGAAATTTATCATTTTAGATTACCATAAAATTTAATTTTTGATTCGTATTCCTGGTCTAATTTGTATATCTGGTGGGAAAATATATTTGAGCAAGTCTGATATCCAACAATGACACTAAAGCATCTCATTTTTCTAAAGATTTTAAAATGTGGCTAACAAATATAAACACAATATTTTATAAGAATGATAATACTTGATACTCACTCTAAGCCCAGGAAATCCCGGAGGACCAATGCTACCTACAAGTCCCTATGTAAAAGAAAGTACAAGGGTGGTTAAATACAATTGCAAACTACTATGGGCATTTTCTAAAGACACAGACAAACATTTCTAGAAAAAAAAATATGTCAAATTTTACCCCCATGCATCTTCCTAAGAAGCATAAATCTCTGGTGGTAGTATAAGTTCTCCCAAAATGCCCTTGGCCCCATGTTTTTGGATGCCAGGACTATCACCTAGCCTAGGATATAGACTGTTCTGTGTCTTTTATGTATCTAATAAAGGAAGTAAATCCTGTAAGTAGTCAGCATTATAGACATAACCAACCTATGTATTATGTAAAAAGATAAGTTGTCAGCATATAGAGTTAGAAGAGCATTTTCAGATGGTTTAAAACACTACCCACTCTTGAAGTATAATATTTAAATTCTTTAAACTTCAGTTTCTTTATTTAAAGAACAGAAACAATGACATTTGGGGGTGCCTGAGTGGCTCAGTCAGTTAAAGTATCCAACTTTTGGTCTCAACTCAGGTCCTGATCTCAGGATCTTGAGTTCAAGCCCCATGATGGGCTCCACAGTAGGCATGAAGCCTACTTAAAAAAATAAAGGAATAATAACATTTGTTCTCACTATTATAAGATCACAATGAAAACTGTCATAATGTATAAAAGGTTTTGAAAAATTTCTCACAAATATAATAAATTACCAACACCATTAATTATGTATATAATAAATGAAATTTTAAATTATCAATATTAATTTTTCCAGTTGATTTGTGGTCTTGTGAACCCATCATTATAGTCTTTATGATAATTTCTAATTTAGTCCAAGGCAGTGTTAGAAAGTGAAAAGTACCCCTCCCTTTTTTTGTATCTGAAGTTGTTTTGAAAATAAGGTACAGTAAAATATAGAGAGAATTATAAGCCAATAAACTAAAATATCCAGTTTATCCTTGTATTTTAAAGATATTAAAGCCTGAAAATGCTCTTCAAGAAGCATTACATTTAAATAAAGAGCAGATTTCAAAAAGAAATATCTTAAATATGATAGAAGCCCAACCCTAACAAACTTCATGTATATTTAACTGACAAAAATTTAAATAAGATGGCTTCACAGTAGTTACACAAGTACATAAATGGTATTAAAAGAAAAAATAAATAATGCTTTCTTACCCTTGAAATGAAAAGCTCCGCAGAATCAAAGGCAAGAAAACTATGGTAAACATTCTATTTAAAACACCATTCAGGTTTTTAACAATTTATTTGGAATCAGTTCTATTCTTATCTGCCAAGACTTACAACAAATAAAACTTTGGCTAAATTAACTGAATAACTGATAAAGTCATAATTTAGAAAACTAAATAAAAAATAAATGATTTTCAAACACTTTAAGTATAAGTGCTAGTATTTCACCTGTATCTAAATATAAGAACTATTCCTAATTTAGGCTAAAAGGATTTAGTGATTAACTCTAATTCACCTTAAAATCTTATTAAATGAATGTGTGCATGGAATAGATTGGAGGGATTTGATAGATGCGCTTTGAGAGAAAAAAAAAATTGAAGATTTTTCTACCTAATGTCAAAAAAACCAACAATCTATCATCATTGTTTGATAATATAATTAAACTAATTATAGAACAGTAACTTTTTTTTTTAAATATTTTATTTATTTATTTGATAGAGATCACAAGTAGTCAGAGAGGCAGGCAGAGAGAGAGAGAGAGAGGAGGAAGCAGGCTTCCTGCTGAGCAGAGAGCCCGCCTGATGCGGGCTCGATCCCAGGACCCTGAGACCATGACCTGAGCGGAAGGCAGAGGCCTTAACCCACTGAGCCACCCAGGCGCCCCTAGAATAGTAACTTTCTAAACTGCAAATAATAGCTGAATAATCCTAAAGGAGAAGATTTCTCTAGAAATCAATACCCAAAAGCCAGGTAGATCAATGACAGGCTTGAGACAAAAAGGGCAATCACTGAGAGCACAATATTTACATGAGGCTTGTTAGTACCTTCATGTACATGAAAGGCTCACCCCAAAAATATTCAAGTCAGTATCATGATCATGTACTTCTAATATTTTACTTAAGCAGGTACATTTAACATGGTCACAATGATTCGTTTTAATGATTCTCTCCCAAGAAAGAATATATTCATAACATTTTTGTCTTTACAAATAGGAATGTGCACAGAGGTATCAAAACTGTCTGGCCAACAGCACTTATTTGAATGTCACGAGGATGGCAAGTGCAGGTGCTGTGGCGTCTGAGTGATGTCAGATCACAAGGCTGGACCATAACAATATACTCACAGGACTGCCATCAGGGCCAGCAGGGCCTCTGTCTCCAAAGTCACCTGGAAAACCCTGGCCCAGGGAAAAATGAAGAAATGCTGTTAAAACCAAGAATTCATTGTTGTCCATTCATCTGTTGAAGGGCATCTCAGCTCTTTCCACAGTTTGGCTATTGTGGACATTGCTGCTATGAACATTGGGGTACATGTGCCCCTTCTTTTCACTATACCTGTATCTTTGGAGTAAATACCCAGTAGTGCAGTTGCAGGGTCATAGGGTAGCTCTATTTTTAATGTCTTCAGGAACCTCTATACTGTTTTCCAGAGTGGCTGTACCAGCTTGCATTCCCACCATCAGTGTAAGAGGCTTCCCCTTTCTCCACATCCTCGCCAACACTTGTTCTTTCCTGTCTTGTTTATTTTTGCCATTCTAACTGGTGTTACAGTGATATCTCATGGTTTTGATTTGTATTTCCCTGATGGCTAGTGATGTGTTACATATATACAATGGGATATTACTCAGCCATCAGAAAGGATGAATACCCACCATTTGCATATACATGGATGGAACTGGAGGGGATTATGCTAAGTGAAATAAGTCAAGCAGAGAAAGACAATTATCATATGATTTCACTGATATGGGAAATATAAGGAATAGTGTAGAGGACCACAGGGGAAGGGAGGGGAAAACTGAATAGGAAGAAATCAGAGAGGGAGACAAACCATGAGACTCTGGACTCTGGGAAACACACTAACGGTTACAGAAGGGAGGTGTGGGGATGGGGTAACCGAGTGATGGGTATTGGGATGGGCGTGTGTTGTGATGGACACTGGGTGCAACTAATGAATGCTGAACACTACATCAAAAACTAGTGATTACTATGTGCTGGCTAACTGAACATAATGAAAAATATTCATTTTTGCTGTGTTCTCTGATAAGGAATTTACTAATAGGAAATATTTATTTCCTAATCTCTAAATTATGATACAGCAAAAACTTGTATTTGTTTTGTGTAATACTTCATTGATTTTGTTTAGTACAATATTTCCATGTTTTACAAAAATTATTTTACATGCCATATAATATATACAGAAAGCGAAGCTGAAGAAAATATACATTTGTTTGGCACTTTATAAAGAACCACTGAATGAGAGAAAACATAACAAAGATTTCTGCCTGACCAATCCATTAGTTATCTCCATGATTTCTTGCCATTCTTAGACCCACATCACAAAGAATGAAATGGCTAATACTATTTAAGTGTGTACTTAGCACACTTACCATGTGCTAATGGCTTTAAACACTTTATTATATACATACTACTTCATTTTATCTTCATAACAAGTTGAATCAATGAATATTAATACCCCCACTTTGCAGTTGAGAAAACTGAAGCACAGAGAGCTTAAGTCACGTGCACTCACTAGCCACACACAAGTGGGACTGAGATTTGAATGGAGGAAGTCTAAATGCAGAATCAATGTTCTTTCTCCTCTTCTACATTGAATATTTTAGCTAATCATTTCAAGATAAGATAAACATGTAACAAACATCATTTAAGTACTATGTTATTGGGGAAAGCCATAATGTACATAAATCCTGCAACCATAAAATGCAATGCCACTGAAAATCAAGGTTTTCAGTGAAAATCTACTGAAGATTCCACACCATAAACTATGAAGGATAGTAAGTAACACACTTTCTTATTATACATTCTTCTGTAAAACAACTCAAATTACTCAGTAACTATTACTTTATACACTAAAATTCTTCTCTGAATATTTGCCACTATATTTATCAACTTTAAAGCATACTTTTAAAAAGCTACTTTGCAGAATGGTTTATAAGATTTATTATTAACATTTTAATAATATTCTTTTTAAAAATTTTTGTAAGACTAACAAATAAAAGTATATTATTAGAGTCTTATAATCTATTTAGGCAAACCAGTTATTAAATACATATTTAATAGATCGCCAAAAATCACCAGTTCACTAGTACAAACGTGAATGGGCAAAATTTAAAAAAGATAGTTTAGCAATGGGAAAAAAAGTATGATGTATCTAAGGCATAGTTAACTCATACTAGAAGCAGTTTTTCTTATTCTGTAATCAGAGGATAATGCAAAAACCATCTGTGTAGCCAAACATATTGTAGCCATACCCCCTTCAGAGTCAGTTGAAGTTCAGGCAGGCGTTTTGCTTTCATTGTCCTTGGAAGTCTAATTCTGTTGTCAACAAGTTCACATATCTGCAATACATCATACTGTTCGGTATGAGCTAATAAGGGTCTTTCAAAGTATTTATGATGTACAGGTAATGGAACAAGTGGAGGAAAAATTCTGTAAGAGACCTGAAACATAGGAGATGATTGATTTTTTAGATAGATCATAAATAGGTTTTTCAGAAAGTTCAGTGAAATAATAAAGATGGGGGTACATATTGCATGATTCCATTAATGTGAAATGTCCAGAACAGGCAAATCCAGAGACACAGAAAACAGACTAGTGGCTGCCTAGGGCTGGTGCTGCAAGGAGAATGGGGCGGTGAGTGCTAATGAGTACAGGACTTTTTTTCTGGGTGAAGAAAATGTTCTAAAATTCATGTGACAGCTACACAACTCTGTCAATATAATAAAATATACACTAAATTATACATTTTTAAAGGGTGAATTTTATGATATGTGAACTAGATCTCAATAGTTTTTCTTAGAAAATGAAGACACAATCAGTCTGAATAAGGAGCAGAGAGGGACTACTACAAACATCCTTGGGGACTCACTCAGGATGGCCTAGATGTGCTATTTGGGACTGAGTAGCCCCATCCTCAACCAGTAGGAGGAGCTGCTTTCCAGTTCAGCTTTCCATAAAAACTAGGGATTTTTCCCCCCTAGGAAGGGAAAGAGGAGAGAACTATGATGAATGCTTCACTTACGACAAAACCTGAACTAGCATAATAAATAATAAAATACTTATTAATTTCAACATCCTATTCTTCTGGTAGTTCAACATTATAATAAATATTAGCTGTTCAACTTGATTTTGCCCCTAAAACAATTTAGTTAAACTGAGTAATATCTACTTTTAAATTTTTTATGTATTATTTCTCCTCTCACTTTACTACCCATTAAACATTTCATTTCATTCAATTCTCTAGTCTAGACAGATAATTTGTTTTATTATTTTTTTATCCTTTCTATATGTTGACTACTTTGTCATCAATTTTTTTTTTTTAACTTTTTTAAGATTATATTTATTTGACAGAGATCGCAAGTAGGCAGAGAAGCAGGCAGAGAGAGAGGAGGAAGCAGGCTCCCCACTGAGCAAAGAGCCCGATGATGCGGGGCTTGATTCCAGGACCCTGGGATCATGACCTGAGCTGAAGGCAGAGGCTCTAACCCACTGAGCCACCCAGACACCCCTGTCATCAATTTCTGATATAAATCCTCCTAAATCTAGACATATTTTCCTGTTTAATAAAACATAGCACAGTTCATGCCACAAAAAACAAACAAAACCCATTATATTTGGCTATTTACTGAACATATATTTCTTCTAAAAAACATCATGCCAATGTTTTATGGTTTTGAATATGTATGTGTTTGCTATTTACCAGTTGTTATTTAATTTCTAGTAATTACATGCATAATTTTTTTTTAATGCAGGAGAGTTTCTGTATTCCTTTAATTAGAAGCCTAAAGGTTCACAGTCACCAATCTCCATTGTCACAAACCAATCTTAAAATATTGGTTGTGAAACATGGAACAATAGTGATAAAACACTTTGCCTTTGAACTTAGTATACAAAAGATAGCTTCTACAGTTTCTTTCTCCACTTGAAAGAATTTGTTATAAAATAAAATACCAAATTTTCTCTCACATTTACCTAGTGGAAAATTATAACCATTGATTTAAATCAAATTGCACTTTCCTAGGAATACTTTTACACTGCCAAAGGATTTAATAACCATTTTCCAGGATTATCATCCATAAGGAAGCTTGAGTTTTTTTGCCTTTCTTGCCCTATTTGCCAACTGCATCAATGTAGTAACTGTCTACTAATGAGCAAGGCAGAGTTGCACTGTTTCTTCTATGTTGTGCATAATTCTCTTTCTTACATTTTAATCACTTTGATGGGTCATAACATTTTATCTTATGAAGAATATGACATTCAGGGATTTCATTCAATCTCTTCAAGTCATGTATAAGGTTCTTGTTCATTTCTACCATTGGATCAGTATAGTGGACAGACTTTAAGGTGACCTCCTGCTATTCTTGCTTTTGTGTGCTACCCAGCTGTGAGTATGAGTGGGACTATGATTTGCTTATTCTAAAAAACAGAATATAGCACGGGTGATGGGATGTCCCTGATATGATTATGTCATACTATATAAGACTTCATCTCCCATATGACAGGGAATTGTGTGATCTCTAGGAACTGTGGACAATCCATAGGGCCTAAGGTGATCTATAGCCAAGAGCCAGAGAAAAGCCCAGGGCGTTCAGTTCTACACCCTTGAAGAAATGTCGTCTTCGTACAACCTGAATGAAGCTGGAAGTGAACTCTTTCCAAGCCAAGCTCCAGATGATCGTGCAGCCACCTGACACTTACTTTGACTGTAGCCTTGAGACCCTGAGCAGAAGACCCTGTAAAGTAGTACCTGGATTCCCAACCCAGGAGAACTGTGAGAAAATAAGTGGGTACTGTTGTAAGCCACTAAGTTTGTGGTATTTGTTATGCAGTGACAGAAAACTAATAAAATTGGTAATTAAATCTTTGAGTAGAGATTGTGTAAAGTCCTATTTGCAAATTTTACCAAGTGGTAATGTTTAATAAAAAGCTACTTGCACTATTTCTAGATTTTTAAAATTTAAATAGATCACCTCTCTGAAGACTTTCTATGGCTTTTTATTTTCTGTGGCAACTTATAATTACTATCAATATTAGTTAAATTAAAATGTTATATTTAGATTTTAAAAATTTAATCTAATATCTACATTTTAAAAGTTTCATCATTCTAGCATTTCATATTCATCTAATTGCTAATGCAAAATTCATGCTTCATGAATATAAC